TTTTCGCTTCCAATTTAGAGTGTGAGGCATCAATGAAGTGCCCGCCACGTGGCGTGGCATGTTTCATGGTTAGAAAGGAATGCTGCAATCATGCATGTGTTGAAATGTTGGATTACACAAGAAGGCAAGTTCATTCAAGAAGAGAAAGTACATCACCTCACCTGCAATGCAAAGGCTTTATGGACAACATTTTTTCGCCGTTTTGGCTTGCAGAGAGACGTTGTGTGGCCAAACGTGCCAGCAACACAACAAAAGGGCAATGCCAAATCATGATGGTTCCTTCGTAGGTCACACTGTTTGGTGAAAAGTGCAAAACGAAGAACCCCAGATTGAAAGACTTCCAATTTTGTTGGTAGCGTAGATAGCTTTAAATCGGAAAGTGAGCAGTTGAGCATCGCTGGTCGCATCATTCCTTCTGTCAGCCCTTTTCTTCCACAGTGGCCTTGGATTTGCAACAGAGAGATGGCCGGCCATGTCCTTTGCTGGCATTCTTCGCCGTGGCGCATTCCGTTCCCTTGCCTGCACCCAGTCGAGGGTCGACAGGCCTGGCTCCTGCAGAGAATTCTGCATCAAGGTAGATATGTTGGCAACCAGTTCTTTCCACTTTCAACATACTCATCAAAGTCATTTTGCGATCTCATTTTTCGCCCCCTCCATTTTGCCGTTTGCACGACACCCGTCTTGATGTCTTGGCTCTCCGCCAGGTCAGTGCTCTACTGGGCGGAACAAAGTGCTACGGGCGTCACTTTAAGAGATCTCTGCCAGATTGGACTGGATCGAATCTTGACGGAGTTGCGACATGGAATTTCGCCGCAAGTGACCTGGTGTGCCTGGAATTCCTTTTCCTGTTTCGGTGAGGAAATCTGCGCAGGGAGCATGGGGTCTTTCTGCATCGTGAGCTTCGCATCCGCCTTGCGCAGAGGGTCTTGGAGCTGGAGTCCCTGCCGTGCCTCGGAAGAGCCCAGATGTGTGTGACAGCTGTCAAAATGGACAATTTGTAGAGGGCAGAATGTCAGCTGTCAACTCTACTCTGCTGCTTGTGCTACTTGGTTTGGCGAGGGCATTTTGCAAGGTGCTTGCGGGCGGCCGGAAAGATTTGTCTTTGAGGGATGTATACGTTCATATAATATGATTCACACATATATATATATAAATATATACGTATAAATAAACATATATATATATGTATAAATTCATAGTACTGTACTGTACTGTACTGTACTGTACTGAATAATTATGCTACATACCTTTGGTATATATTCCCCAAGGCAGGTCAGCATATAGGAAATGGTTTCTTCATGAAGGCAAATGCAGATTCAACCCAAGGGCGCAGACCAACATGACCAACGGGGAGTTGGGCAGGTAGACCAAGCGGAGGTACCGACTGGGCGAAAGAAGTGGCATCCGGGATGTGATTGAGTGGTACACTGGCTTCGTGCACCTGCTGGAGGACAAACGATTTCTCCTTCAGTTTGGTGTTAAACCGATTCAACAGCCTACGGCGCCTAATCCATTTCACACCCAGGTGCTCAACAGCCCTGTTGGAACAAGCGTTGTATTTTACGTGCATGAAATGTGGTTCATGGAGTCTGTCTCTTTGGGTTTTTGTTCATTTCCAGGAGTCACCTGTACCGTACACGGAGGAACTGGATGAAGAGTTCACAATGCTACTGACTCGTGTCTTCGAGGAGCATTCCGAAGTGATTCAGGCAGAGTGTTTGGCCAGTGAGGGTTGGCACAAGAAGTCAGGACATGTCAGGAATGGATAGTCAGACATGTGTCTTATTCCAGTTGGTGTGTTATGCCTAGCCCCAAACACGGAACCTTCCTCACCGTATTACTTGCCTCTAGGCAATGGCCTTTGGAGTACAAGACCTTATCGCTGAGCTTCGGGAGGACTTGATCGGATCACTTGGTTCTCTGCATTGATTGTGCGATTGAAATGACAATCATTTGGTTCTCCTCAGGCTCACAGAACCTTTAAGTTGGTGGTTTCCACACATTCAGCAGCGGCCCGTGCTCCGCTAGGATTACAGCCACGTGCAAGCAGAGGTGGATGCGATTTTGCGCCGTTTCTTCACTGCACGGATTGGCATGCGCTTCTTGCTCCAGCATCACATCGAGTCTTTCAGGCTGAGAGTTGAAAGAGCCCAATTTGGAGTCGTAAGGAATAGCAAACGTTGTAAAACTGTTAGACCTTTCTTCTTTTTCTTTTTCCTTGTTTCTACTAGCGATGGCCTCCAACCTGTTGGCGATGGCCTCCAACCTAATAGCATTAAATAGCCGAAAGTACATGAAATAGGCAGCATTGCAGTGAGCCTTGATGCAGTCCAGCATGTGACACAGTAGGAGCCTTTTCACTTTTACATCTACAACGTGCGAAAAAATATCATGGCCAGGAATCGTGAAGGGCACAGCGGCATCCTTCAACTGGCCTGCGATCCGGAGGTGATTGCGCGGAAGGCAGTGGAGGGGTGAGGGATGGTGACGGGGTTTGTGAGAGGCGAAGGTCGTCGTCTTCGTATCCCAGAAAAGGACATAAGCGTGCCAGATAGGGCTCCTATTTTAGGAACAGATAAAACATGATAAAACACACATGGGCGCGGGTCAAAACCTGGCTGTTTTAAAATTACAGAGAGACCCTTTTCATTTTCGTAAGTTGCAAACATTCCGATCAAAGGAAAAAGTCACCCATTCCACGATGAGGTGCAGTTTGCATTTGCAAAGAATTAGGACGCTACTACTAGCATGGACGCAGGATAGCTCACGCTTCTTCAAGGAAGCTCCCCGCCTGAGGGCGCGGGGAGCTTCCTTGAAGAAAAGCTCGTACTGTTCATTTGGCTCCTACATTTTAAGGGAAAATAGAAGTTTCGAGTTCACCATAGACATACACATACATCATACATTGCACAGAGCCAAGTCAAAGGCAGCGGGAAGAACACATGGGACTCGATGCAGGCGGCCACTGACAGCGCGATGCTGTGCAGGGCATCCCTAGCACAGGCTCCACACATTGCGCCACATAGCAGAAATGATGAGTGCGATTTGTGCTTCCAAGGATAGCCGGGCAAGCTTTGAGATTCTTCAACCTGAAAACAGTCATGGACCAACTCAGAAGCATGAGCTTTGCCTCAGAGATAGTCATCATAATTTGTCGTTTCCAACTGAGGATACATCACACGAATCCTGGGACCTTTACCTATGTCCCAATGCACTTGCACTACATGCTTACAGAGGTGAGGTTGAGTTGCAGACCTGCCCTTGAGGGTCAGGAATCAGTTTCAGACATTCCAGAATGATGAGCTTTTGTATATATATATAGGCTGCAAAGGCCTACCCGACATCCCCAATCGATACTTGTATATATAGTATTTGTATCCAATGAGGGAGAAAGACAGACTGAGGGAAAGGTCGCCCAGTTGCCTAGTTGGCATAAACACACTCCGCTGAGAAACTAGGACCCAAAAGGATTTGAATCAGTTGGTGAAGACATAAAAAAAGAACATGACACACTGAGCACAAAAGGGAGACCAAGAGACGGGGAGGAGAGAGGAGGAGAGAGAAACAAAAAGCCATAGAAGCGTGGTCTTCATTCACATGAAAGTAAGAGGAGGTATTGGAATTGGAAGCTGTTGCAATGAACATATGGGCCGCCCATCGGCCTCAGTTCATCAGTTTTGACCCGGTTCACACCTTGGAGCACTTCTCTTTGCAGGAGTCCGGTTGAGTTACAGCATTTACTAGGTCATGTTAAGGTCAAGTTTGTGGCCTTTTGTTCCTCGTTTCCTCAGTCAAATTCCGGTTGTACCTGGTGGCCGATTTGTTTCTTCGCAAACCCGGTGGGTTTGAGGATCCTGATCTTCCACCGCTTGCAGACCGGCAGGTCTTCAAGAACAGCTGCCGAGCCACCGTGGAACGGCACGCCGAAAGCTTCGATGATCCGCTGCCGAAGGTCCATTGTCACATTGTGCATGGTGACGAAGATGTCACGATGCTTGGCACGGCAGGGATCAGCAGGATCTTTTTTGGAAGGACACGACAGGGAGCAAATAGGATGATTGGCCTGTTAAGTTTCCCTAAGAATCTAAAGGGCCAACACATTAATGCGAGCTCTTCTTCAAGGAAGCTCCCCCCGCCTGAAGAAGCGTGAGCTATCTTGCGTCCTAGCTAGGAGCTTCCTATTGCTAGTAGCTCACTTCTCCCTTACTTAATTGTGTAGGCGCCTACTAAATTTATTAGAGAGGGGGGAGCTGGCCAAAGAAAAGGGAATGACAGTAGAGAAGTGATCTACGTTGTTGCAGGTCCAACGCGCCTGAGTTCTTTCTTCAATAATTTCAACCCGCATCTACGTGCAAGCCTGCTAGTGCATGTCTGACCAGCTGTACATCATCTAAGGATCCGCATCAGCGACGAAGGAGGCGGTATTGCGCGCGCAGCCTTGCCCAATATTTGGAAATTCATGTTCACGACGATGAGAGACTTGGCTCAAACTGCTCACGACAGCCGACAACTGCAATGCCTACCGATATCTCGTAGTGCCATTTTGTATCAATGACGTTGTGCATGGCATGGTCAAATTGATGCTGCATGGCTCATCCTGCTGTCGTCCAGCTTTTTTTGTTCATGAAAGACAAGGCTTTTCTTATTGGTTTGTAAAGAAAGACAGAAAGACAGCAGAAACTTGTCTCTCATGGTTTTTGCCTTCTCAACGATCCGACCGTGCGTTGCTCAGAAAAAACACCTTGGTCTGGACGAAGGCGCCTCCCGAAACGAAAGCATGCAGCACGATGGAAGGAGTATGGAGTCCCTCCGGAGCACGAACACCTTCTCCAAGTAATTTCCACCTTCAAAAAGCTCATGTTCACCTCATTTTCATCGAAATTCCTCCAAAAGCTCTTCACCGGAGTCCATGTCCGACACTCGCTTTCCAAACCAAAACGAAGAGTCGACCCAACCGGACTCTTCCGTCGGAGCTCGGCCGTCGACCGCCTGCAATCCGCAGGGATGACTTCCGCACGAAGCCGGGAGACTCCGCCTGCAATCCGCTGCAGCGTCGCTTGGGACGTACGTGAAGGATGTTGAAGGAACGAACGAGCGAACCGAAATCTGCAGACAGTTTGGCTGACTCATTTGGGTCGTGCTTTGAAAGTTGCGGGCGCCGCGCACATGTTCTCCAGTGCAGCTAGGTTCCAGATTCACTATCTACAGCTAGAAGTAGTCTTTCTTGGCACTTGTTTAGCAGAGAATCTTTTTCCCGATCGTTTCAAGATAATTTATCCATATATAACATATACATAATATGAGGTATATAGATACTTGAGAGGAGGGAGACACGAAAGGTAGGACAGCGGGAAGAGAAGAGAACGCGAGAGGCAGGAACAAAAATGCAATGTTCGACATGGTGATTTATCCCCTCGGAGGCGACCTTTCGTAAATATATGTTCATATGCACTCTAAATGTTCAAACATATGCTCTCGAAATGTTCAAAAAGATTCTTAGGAAAACAAATTTGCCCCATGGCTCAGATCATCGGTGAGCATTGAATCGGAACATCATAGGATTTGAACTATCCTGAAACCATAAGAGGCTCACGAAGACGCTCCCCAGAAGAGAATTGACGTGCTTCACAAAACAAACTCTAGGTATGTATCCCCTCGGGGAACACCTTTCGTGATTAGAATTTCATATTCACTCTTTCTGAATGTTCAAGAGGGTTTCAACTATCCTGAAATCATGAGAGGCTCACGAAGACGTTCTCCAGGAGAGAATTGATTTTAGAGGGGGGGAGGGGGGGGGGTTGTAATTGATAATTCAATTCGAGGGGGGGGGGGGGGGGGGGGTCTGAATTGAGCGATCAATTATTAGACCCGGACGTCCCAACACTTGCTTCGCAAGACAAACTCAAGGTATCCCCTAAAGGGCTACCTTTCGTGATATGTATACATTTTATTAACATTATCATTATTATTACTATTATTGTTATTACTATTTTCTTTTATGTTTTCTATTTTTTCCTTATTTGTCTATCAACTCCAAGGTCCAAAGCAAGGTGGTGTGCTTGCAGGGTGTCAGCCCTAGCCGTTGAGTGCAAATTTGATGCGCCAGGCATGTCCTTTCTGTACTGTTTAAGTGTGTTTTTGCTTTTGCATTCCAGAATGATAGGCCACGCTAACAGGTGATGGAGGAGAGACTGACCCAAGTTTGAGTCCTTATCCTTTTCGAAAAGCACCCTTGTAGAGTAGATTTGCCAGACCCGCCAGAGACCCTGATTGGGACATGAGATATGATGAGATACTGAGATACCCGTTTGGTGGAACTAGGGTGGCAGTTAGCGCAGTGAGACTGCTCGGAGGTTTGGAGTTGGCCTGACATTGAGCCGGCTCTATGCCCAATACTTTGGAGGGGACATGAAGATCTTGTCCCTGGATGGGTTCGGCACGGACGTGTGCGCCTCCGTGCTAATGCCCCATGTGTCACAAGTAAGGACCGTTTTCTGATCCGTGCGATGACAGGTCTCAGTAAGGGTGGTTTAAAGCCGGTGACAAGGACAAGCACCGGTGGGGCAGGTACTTGCATCTGAATCGGCTGGGAACAGCCTGCGAAGACCTGCCACAGGCGACGCCAACCAACGAGAGTCATCACGAGAGTTCGATCATCCAACGACCACGAATTAGGTCAACTTCATGGTTTTGATAACCTGACGTTGAAGTTTGGTAGAGCCACTTTTCACCAAACCCAATGGACAGTTTTTCAAATAACAGCTTCTCCTTGACGCGCACCATGTGCTGCAAGTCCCAAAATGGTGGTTGCAAAAGCACTGACAGGTCCGGTGTAGTGGCTGGTCCACTGGTCCGCAACTCCCAGCTCTGGGACTCCGCAGCGGAATATTTCTAACATGCGAACAATGATAAGTTCTATTCATGCTCCTTGAGAAGTTCTATGCTCTGGGACTCTATTCATGCTCCATAAGTTCTTCATGCTCCTTGATAAGTTCTTGATAAACTCTGCTCCATTGATCATAAGTTAAACAATATTGTTCTTTCCAGCTTGCCTGAAGGTGGATGATAGGCTTTCTTGGGTTCCAAAGAATGCTCATGTGGGCACTGCGATTGCCAGGGCGTGCTGTACAGCCCGTCCATGCGTGACTCCTCTCCCTTGGAGGTCGAGGCCGGACCCTGTGGGTTGTGGGCCAGGGTGAAACAGGATTCTGTCCTGCTCTAGCCACATATGCGAGTGGTTCTGAAACCATTCAGGATATGTTCAAAGGTTTCATATGATACTTGTGTCACCACAGCCAAGATTCAGTGCTTGAGCAACAAGCAATCCACGGACTCCGATTTCAATGCTTCAGCTGCTTTGATAGCTGGTGAGGAGCAGCCTCTTTCGGCCGATGAAGAGGCCTTCTTGCGGGGAGAGTCTGCACCTCAGCGGGAGTATTCACGTCAATCGGCGCCATGTTTCTTTCATTGTCTCTTCCTTCACTCACCTTTTGAGCACATTGTTTCGGGCACTGAGGGACAGGTACAAGTCAACCCGGCCATACCTGTGACAACGTCCAACTTCCCAGTTGCTGCATAGCCCTGCCTTGTTGAGGCTCCAGGCATACCGCACTCGGCGTGCGAATGAGGCGGAAGAGGAACTGGAAAAGGAACTGCATGGGGAGAGCAGATGACGCCAGGGTGGAGTGTTGGTTGTTGCCCCTACCCCAATCCTGCTTTTGATCCTCCTGCGCGACTGTGTGAAGAACTACTGTGAAGAGGCCATTGCCAAGACACCAAATCTAGGTCAGGGGGGACTGCGGGGTGTTCGATTGCTTTGATTACTTTGCAACCTTGACGTGATGTGGCTTGAGCCAAACCAGCTGGCAAGCGACCAGCCAGGTTCGCCCAGAAGTGGCGACAATCCCTCCACAGATCGTTGGTTCAGTCCTAATCAGCATGTGGTCAACACGCCAATCATGTCTAAACCAGACTCTATCGTTTTGGATTTACAAATCACCCACATCACATCACTCACCCACGCTTTTTGGCCTTGAAACCAGCCAAGTCAGACTTGCCACGCGCAGCGGCCGCGTTCAATGAACAATGCCACCGGGACCGCTCCGGATGATGATACTGAGAGCTTCAAGTTGGCCCTCACCTTTCTCAGTATCGCAGTGCTCACTTTTCTTTCGCAGACTTTTACAGGCAGGGCATGCAGGATCAGGGTACTTGAATATCCACCATCCTTCAAGATCAGTTTCTGCCTGATAGATGAAATGAAACCCTACGACTCCCAGTCATGGGTGATCCTTCCATGATACTACTTGATCGTTCTACCATGTTTACCATATGCTGCTTGTGATGCGGCCTGAGGCCTGAATATTGGGCTGATGTCCCTAGATACCGCCCAGTTGAAAGTTCTGATTGATGTGCCCAATAAGGACAGATCGGCACGCTTTTGCTTTATCGCTTTGGGCCACAGCACCTGCCTGAAAAGCTCAACTTAGGGCAGCAGTGGAGCTAATCATGGTCCAAGTGTGCAAGATTTCTCCCGTTGATTCATTATTTTGTTTTGACTTGTAGGACGAAGCAGCTATGGATGCAGCCAGATATGCAAGATTCTTGCCTCCAAAATGAAGCCATGGTTGACTTTCTTTCTGCCACTAAAGGGAGGCAGCTCTCATCAGCTTTCTGCCCCTATTTTTAAGCTTGTAAACTGCTGCACAACCGACATGTAGATGATCAACCAACATTTGTTTTGTCACATTTCATATTTAAAGATACGGTGACATTCTCATCAATCTTCTAAAGCTTGGCCTCAGGAAAGATTTTGCCACTGAGACAGCAGGGCAATTTGCTGCTTTGCACGATCCTTTTGGGGAATACTGCAGTGAATGCTGCAATGGCACAGTTGCTGCTTGGTTTGTAATCCATGGTCCCCTTGCCAGAGGCTTTTTCAATGTGGGTTGTAAGGGGAGATGAAGGAGCTGGATACGTGTGGGAGACTGTTGTTCCTGGGATCTAGGGATTGAGCTTGATGTTTTTGTGACGTTCTACACTCAGGCTGGCTGACTACGCAGGCGCTGGTCTTTTGAAGCTAGCTTTAGTCATTTCTGCAAGAAGGAGTGGTGTTCAGCAGGTGCAGCTCAGGATCTACACAACGGAAACACACTGATATTGCACACATTTGGTGAGGATGGCATGAAGGGCCCAGACTCATCTGCAGGTGGTTTTATTGGCTTTCTGCTGACGACTGCCATCATTGTGATCCTTTGCGAGATTGCACGGGCGCTCAGGACCAAAGAGTTCAATCTCTTTGTGTGGAGTTTGCTTCTTTTCTGGTCGATTTGTACAATGCACAAAACCTCGAAACCGCACTACCTTGAGCACCAACAAATCTGTGGTTTACTGGCTTGGATGGATAGTACGTTTTCTCCTTGTCTTATTCAGTCACCCCAGGTTCCGCAGTCTGTTTGCACTCGGCATGGCCTTTTCTTGGGCGCTGCCGGGTCTCCCATCATCCGCTTGGCAATGCTCCTCTTCTATCCCATCACAAAGCCGCAGCCTGGCGGAGTTGGAGCAGATGGCCACGGGGACGAAGCCCACTGCTTAGGTGTGCGGTCGTTCCCTGTGAGACTTGATTCCTCTCCAAAGTCAAAGCTGGCAATGAATCCTTGAAAAAAGATAACCAAGTGGCGGGCTCTTCAGCCGGCTTTGGAAGTTCTGCTGCAACAAGAGACCCTCAAGTCAGGGTCACAGGACCCTGACTTGCAGTATGATTTGAGGATAGTGAAGGGGCGGAAACGATACAGTCGGACTGTCTCTTTTTGTCCCTTTGAGGTCCCGTTCATTCATGGGAGGTAACGTAACGAGGGCCTTGGAAGAGGCTCAAAAGAATGAAGAGTGATAGGAGAGAGAGGAAGGGGGCCGAAAAAGAAAGCGACTACCAGGAACTACCATCTCACCTCAATGATAAGTTATAGCTAGAAAGGAAAACATGCGCTGTACGTAACTGCAAAGAGCACTCCTGAGGTTAGTATCTCAAAGCCCCTTGGTACTGCCAATCCCACGATGTTTCAGTGGGAAAGTTGCACAGAATCACTGCGGGAAGTGGTACCACTCGGTGATCAGAGTTCATTGATGGTGATGGGGGACACTAGGGTTGGCACGACCACAGCAAAGGTAAAGTGTATAGCCGCAACCGTTTATCTCAAATGATATGTCAAGGTCTGAGTTCGTGGTTATGTGAAGTAGATTGCGATTTAGCAGCTGTTTTACCCCGCAAAAGCAGTGCCACGCCAGGACTCCCACTCTGGTCAGAGATGTTGTTCAAAATTGTTCAAAAAATTGATTTGCTTGAAGAATGATGACACTTGAGGTGAATTGACGTCTAACCAACCCTGGTGATGAGTGCCATGACTTGTCATTCCTCGCAAGTCATGGCATTCATCAGGCAGATTGGTGCGGACTTACAGACAGCATCTGTGGAGGAATGGGCACCCTTTGCGACAGGGGCAAACAACAGCCAAAATTTGACTGTTCTTTGCTCTTTTCGCAAAACGGTGCAGATTCCTCCGCAAATGCTATCTGCAAGTCCGCACCATACCCCCTGATGTTTCTGATTTGTTATATTTGGGGTGCTTCCGGTCTGTTGAAGGAAATTTCGATCAGGTTCAGAAGGTGAGTGACTTGAAAGATCAACTTTGTTTTTCGCAATGGTTTCTTGGAGGAAGAGTTTGGTTTGCAAAATTGTTTTCAGCAGATAATGGAGCAGTAGGTTTGAAAACTGGTTGCTGTGTCAATTGGGCCGAGGTATGCTCTTGTATTGGATCGGCTCTTTCCCCAACGAGAGCCTTGACCTGCAAAAGGTATCAAAACGTGATCTTTGAGATGCGGGTCAGTGTCCTGCGGTTGCAAGCTGTTCAACTTTTCAAACTTGTTTGGATAGGTTGGCGGTTTACAACGCCTGCAAGTTTTGAAAAAGCTGTTGTTCCGGACATCGGAAAGCAAGAGGAATCTTCCGCACACTCTTTTTTTCACGACACCTTATCATGAGCTCTCGTTACTGACTCGGGCGCTGCAAAGGAGAACTTGTTGGACCGGAGCCAGCTCCAAGCACTGGTGGAATACCAGAAGTCTGCAGCTCCTGGCATGCTGGCCGAGGGACAAGCAGAGATGCTGATAGGAACCTGGAAGTTCTTTGCCTGCGGTCATCAAGAAAGCATGTTTTTTCATTGGCAAACGGACTGAGAAGCCGATGCATTGCATCCTTCGCAGGAGCCCTGGGCATGGCCCAGAAGACAGTCTCGGAGGTCATGGTGAAGCTGGATGCAGCCTGCAGCCTGAGCCCCAAGGCGGAAACCGTCGGGCCGGTGGTTAAGCCGCTGTTAAGCCGCAGAGTTTGAATCGAACTGTGAGAGTGAAGCGGTTCAAGCCCTGAAGTCTGAGCTGTTTGAACCCCGTCTCCAGCGACAAGGAACCAAGAAATCGAAAACAACAAGTAACAATGTCATGCCGCAAAGGCTCCGTGCGAAACGCCTCTTCCCTGCCAAGACGAGAATGAGTTTCGGTAACCCCTATGGCGGTTTCGGCATGTGACTCTTTTGAAGTGCGCCGGCAACCCACTGTGTTTCGTAGCAGGTTTTGTCGTTTCCCAAGTCAAAGGGTGTTCTAGAGTCAGAGTGGGTTTCCGGGACTTTAACAACCGCACCCGCTTCATCACCGTGACACTGGGTTGATCACAACGTTGTGAGAAGTTGCGGACATGATGATGACGGTGGTGATGATGATGTTGTTGTTGTCGTTGTTGCTGTTGTGGGCTGCTGCTGCTGCTGCTGCTGCTGCTCAAACCCAAGTCTAAAATCTAATGAATCTAGTGCTCACCCACTGCATGATGAAAAACATCGGCACTACGGCTAAGCCGAGATATTGCAGCGGTTGTACCCTTGATGTTGTGAATTTGTTGTCTGTTTGTTTTGTCGTAGGTTTGTCTTTGGTTTGTTGTTTGGCAGATGACGCTCCAGTCCTCGTGCTTGCAATGTGACCATTTCCCATCAAGGCTTCAAGGACCCTACACTTGCAGCAGACAGAGACACAACTTTTGATTCCCTGCGCAAGGAGTGCATGGTATTCACTCTTTCATCCTCACTCCCTACCCTAATTTATTCTTCGATGCCAGCGTCGTGGCTATGACGGTTGTGAAAGCGATGAACGTGTTGCGAAAACTATGAGTTTGTTGCAGCAATGTACAAGCATTCTGTCAAGCTAATCAATGGTGCAAATTTGACGACAAGATTGGAGTGAAGCGGATGCACTGGCAAAAAATAACATGAATACGGCAAAGGCCACACACATATATATATATATAATATAATATATAATATATATAATATATATATATATAGATAGGTAGATAGATAGATAGATAGATATCTATTACGAAAGCCAGCCGATAGGCTAGGCTTGAGCTCTTAGAGCAAACGAAGTGAGTTAAGGGGGAGAGGGTGAACGCGGAGCTTGCTGGGGGAGAGCGCTCCAAAGCGAGGGTCAGAAAAGCAGTGAAAATAGGGTCTGGTGATGCGAGTGATGCAATGGACGCCGAGTTGTGCATCATTAGCATCATGAAGGGGTCTGGGAACAATTTTTCTAGTCCTGAGCAGGGCATAGGGACTGTGTAGCTCTGATCATACCAAGAAGGACCAAGCAACACAGAGTGAACGCTCTGGCAGCGAACGATGTGAGCATGTCCAGTTGGGCGAGGTAGAGGCTTGGGGATAAGAGCGCCGCAAGAGGAGAAGCAAGAAAGCTGCAAGCGTTCAACACTTCATGCTGTGCTCCGATCTTGATCTCAGTCGCAGTGATACCAGCTCCACGAAACCACAAGCTTTCAACTATAGGTGCTCTGCTATTTTTTCCTCCCAGCCCTGCTCTCTATAGGGCTTCGCATTGATGCACGATACCCGAAACACACTTCAACGCAACCACAAAAACCATTTCGGGCATCATTCTCCTGGTGTTTACTGACGTTTATTTTTGCATGGACTCTCAAATAGAACACCAACAAGGGACCAAGCAAATCAAGAATACTAAAAGCATTCAACACTTCGTGCTGTGCTCCGATCTTCATCTACGTCGAACCATTCAAGAATGAGTGCTCTCTTTTTTTTCTCCCAGCCCTGCTTTTCAAAGGGCTTCGCACTGATGCACGATGCCCGAAACACATTTCAAAACAACCAAAAACCATCTTTCGGGCATCCTTCTCCTGGTCTTCACTGACGTTCATTTTTACACGGATTCTCAAGTAGACCACCAAACAGGGACGCTCCAGAGAGCACCGCGCCAGGATAGTCGAGAAAACCTCAAACATTCAACACTTGATCCTGTGCTCCGATCTTGATCTATTCCACGTTGATACAAGCTCCACGAAAGCTACAGGCATTCAACAACAAGTGCTCCGCTATTTTTTCTTCCCAGCCTTGCACTACCATATTGGTCTCTCAAATTTCGTCCTTTCCTTTCTATATAGGGGCTAGTCTGAACCCTGGAGATTAGAATGTCATCAAATCGCCTTCCTTTTTTGCACAGGATATCTTGGACTATGCCTTCATTGCACAGGTGGTTCAACAAGGTTTCAGCCGCTTCCCAGTTGTGGAACCCAGCTCCGGACAGGCAGGAGACACGAGACGAAAGTGACTTGAATAAGTGTCTTCAAAGTCTTCAAACGTTTCAACCAACAAAGGAAGGGACAGACAAAGAACGTCTCAATGATGAGTATACAAATCCACGTACAACAAAGGCAGAACAACTGTTTAAACAGCAATCACAAAGCGGCAGCTCTTTTGCAACACCTTTCTGACTACTGTATCTCTCCAGGTGGTGGGCTTACTCCATTGCAAGGACTTGCTCTCCCTTCGGGACCCGGATTCTGGGTGTTGGAAGAGGGCAGATCCGTGGGTTTGAAGATGTTTGAAGGTCTAGCCAAATTTTGGATCCAGGCACTTGGCTAGCCTAGAAAACCAGACACGTGGAAGACTTGGAAGACACTTTTTGACCAGTTCTATCATTCTATCTGAAGCGTTTTTTGCTTTTACAGTCTGGGGGTTTGAGTCGACCAGAATGGTGTCCCGTTCGAAGGAAGTGCTTTGCTTTGGGGCCGATTGCTGGAATTGAGCCAACTTAACAGCATCCGAATGTTTGGGGTTTCTTTCTCTAAAGTTTGGTTTGCCATAGGCGATGGACAGAAGTCCAGGATATTTGTTAGTTGGATCCGGTTCTGAAAAGAACAATAGCGGACATGCAGTGCGGACACCCTGATCACGTTGCAGAAAACAGTTTTTCGACCCAGATTAATGCAGTTTTCGTGAGCAGATTTTGACTGAAGTTCTCCACCTTGGGTGGAAGGCCCTGAGGGTGTCCCATTCTGTGAATTTTGGGTGAAACCTTCGGGCGCCGGTTTGCCATGACCCACACATTATCGAGGGCTGAAACCTAAGGAGTACGACCACCTTGAAGAGGTGCGCGGTAGATCTGTGCCTTGGACATGAAGCTGATGTGTTTCTAACATCAAGAGACCGAAGGTGATATTTCTTGTGTTCTTTCTACAAGTTCATTCAGCAACACAAGTAAAGATTTTTGGTACGTGGCCAATACATACATGGATCACCCTATCCTTTCTCACCCTATCCTTCCCCGCCCCTTAGGACATGAGCTATATGAATGTGTTTCCGTGACAACAGAGAGTGATAATTCGGAAATCCGAGGCCACGGTGGGTGAATTGCTCGAGGCCTTGCGGCAAGCGGGTCGTGAGCGGATGCTTGGCTAAGCGCAGAAAGGGACCCTCGGTTAGACCCGTCTTTCTGCACGGTGCGGCAGCTCACCCTCCGGAAAGGGACAAGGCCAAGGATCAGGTCAAAAGCTTTCTGGTTTCTCGAGTTGGATTGCACTTCGCTTCAAAGCAGGGAAAAGATCTGCTGCACATGTTCAAAGGCATTCAGTCATTCATTCCACCAGTGAAATCAACAGTTCTGCCACATGTGTTGTCCACATGTTGTACTGCAAGCTCTGTAGTCCCGCCCACACCACATCTATCATCCCTTCTACATCACATCCTACAGATCCTATCATTCTTTGATGTGGCAGCTTCAATTCAAAACGGACGTGCAAGACGTCGATCGTCTGTTCTCTGTTTTGTTTCCGTCGATGCGACCGGATGCGACCGGTTTCTGTAGCTCTTTGCTCTCGCCATGAGGGAGGTATTTGTGTGCGGTGAAGACACCACCCTCATGGCCCTGCTGAGCGAGCAGGGAGCCCAGAAAAACGACCAGGGACTGAAGGCAAACGTCGAAGGGTTCCAAAGGTAGGATGAATGAGCATGATAGTGATGCCTACAGTGATAGACGCAACGAATTGCAGGTCGACATGTCTGGATGCGTTTCGTGGGCATTTGGGCTAGAAGTGTGCTCAGCAACCCTTGGGTGACGCTTGCCTTCGTTCTTGCGTTCTGCTGTGCCATGGGCTGTGCGGCCAGCGCCACAGCAGTGACCAACTTTTCCAAGGTGGTTCCAGCTGACAGGTCTGACGAGGCTCTCGCGGCCACCACGCGTCGTGGACGTTCCAACCCGAAGAGTATCAAACGCTCCCAAGTCCATCAACCTGACGAGCAAAAGGCTGTACAGATGGTCCAGAGTGCTGAACCGGAACTTCCGGAACTCCCCTTCGACATCTCAGAGGAAGACCAGGTTGATTTTGATGAATCCAAGCTGGCAGTTTACAAGTCCTGGGAGTGGCCAGACCAAGAGGCTCCTGCGAATTTGCCCTTGCCACCCGGGCGCTATGATCATGAGAGGAACAACCGCCGGGTGCTGAGATTCGGACGCTCTGCACGGCGGCATCCAAGGGCTTTCGCCAATCTCATTGGGAGAGAGTTGGACGAGACAGAGAAAGGTGAGACTTGATCTCTCCTGGAGACAGAGAATCCTCCTTGCTGTCGGGCTGATGTGACACGCAAGTTCATCTTCACTTCGAAGATGCTCAGAATGCCGGGCCCGCTCGATTTTGTTTGCTTGGACCTAGCACGGTTTCAATGGAAGCTGGTTAGTGCCACATTTGTGAGATGTGTACTCAAAACGTTGGTCAGTTTGGACCCGCACATCATTGGTTTCTATCGACGACTTTTTAACCTTTTCTGTTGAGCCATGTCAAAGACCTCTAGTCGATCTATTAATTGCCACGAACGGATTGTCGTATGTATGTATGGTATGGTATGGTATGGTATGGTATGGTATGGTATGGTATGGT